GAGCAAGAGAGAGAGCGAGAGAGAGAGAGAGTCATAAGCAGCCACACCTTAGCAGTTGTGTAGTCCACTACTTTCTTAGTCGTCAGGTCACACTTGTTGCCCACCAGAAGTTTATTGACATTTTCACTGGCATATCGGTCGATTTCCTGAAGCCACTGCTTGACATTGTTATAGGACTCCTGTACAATGAGAACGTGAATATGAACAAAAAGCTGTCTCTGTACATGAATACAAAGTATCTTCAAAAATCAGAACATGACAGAGTTCAAATCTTCCTCCAAACCTTGTGGAGAACATAGCAAGACAAGACTGTCATTTGTTACCAAGTTAACACGTCTTCAGATAAAAGTAGCAAGTATTGGCAAATAGTTATTTATTTTACTTCAGATTAAATAGACCATAACTCCATAAAAACGCTCACTCACTTGGTCTGTCACATCATAAACAACTATGATGCCATGGGCTCCACGATAGTAACTGGAGGTGATAGTACGAAACCTCTCCTGGCCTGCAGTGTCCCACTGGAGGGACGAAGAGGGAGAAAGAAGAGCAAAAGGGAGGATATATTAATATATTACAATTATAACAAGCATATTATGATAGAAAAACAATTGTGTTTGTGAAAAATGAAACATTCATGAAGCTATGCATAAGTTAACCTGTGTCGTCGTTGTTTTAAGTTTCTGTAGTCTGATTTCTGACAAAGGTAACATTTCTATAAAGTTGCCAGTAGACTGAATATTTCTGTTTTCCAGACGACTCTAACCTTTTAATGACTTGGTAAATTAGAAAGCTTTGAGGAAACACATCTACCTTAAGTAGACACGCCTCAGGGCAGAGTCAAGAATACACTATACTGCCAAAACTATTCACTCACCAATCCAAATCCCTGAACCCAGGTATTCCAATCACTTCCATAGCCACAGGTGTATAACATCAAACACCTAGGCATGCAAACTGCTTCTACAAACACTTGTAAAAGAATGAGTCCCTGTCAGGAGTTAAAGCCAGCGTGATATTGCTATAGGATGCCACCTGTGCAACAAGTACAGTCACCAAATTACCTTCATACTAAATATTCCAATAACAAAGTGGAAGCAATTGTGAAGGACAGCAACTCAGACGTGACGTGGGAGGCCATGTAAATTACAGACTGGTGTCAGCAGATGCTAAGGTGCATAGTGAACAGTGGGTGCTAACTTTATGGAGAATCCAGTGCTACAAACTTTCTTCAGAATCCTTAAGATTGGGTCAAGAACAGTGAGAGCTTCATGGAAGGGGTTTCCATGGCAAAGCAGCTTTATATCACCGCAGGCAACGCAAAGCATCGGAAGCAGTTGTGTAAAGCATGCTGCCAATGGGCTCTACAGAAGTGGAGACATGTTCTGTTGGGTAACTTCTCCTGGCAATCTGATGGACATATCTGAGTTTGGCGGTTGCCAGGAGAACAGTACTTGTCTGACTTTCAAAGTGTAAAGCTTGTTGCAGGAGGTTTATGATGTAGGGCTGTTTTCCAGGAGTTGCCCAGTGGTTACAATGAAATCATCCAATGTACATGTAGTATAAAAAGTTCAGCGAGGATTTGACCTGTCACTTCACAAACGATCAAAACAAAGTTTGGACTAGAGGAAAAAGAGTTGTTGATTCTCACAAAGTAAGAGATGGATATGCAAAGTTATCACAGCATTTCCAAGTATCAAGAGTGATTAGTATCATGAAGCAGTCAGAGCAAAAACAGATTTGCATCATCGCTGTGTCTCCCAAGATGACAACGATCTAAAACATATTTCTCTAATAGTGAAAAACTACCTTCAGAAAACTAGCAACAACTTTACTGACTGGCCTGCACAGAAGCCCTAACTTAAACTTAAAAATCAGTGGGGTTAACTGAAGATCAGGTCTGCTGTGTAAATATAACTATAAACTATCGACCCCCATTGTTCAGTCCACCAAATGTAACCAAGCAAACAATCCACTTTCTAAAAGCTGACATCTCACAGATTCCAGAATTGCAAGTTTTGTCACACTCTGGCCAAATTTCCCTCAACCAGCCACAAAAGAAGACCATAAATATGGTGCTCTGTGTGTACATGTGCCCTCACAATCTGCAATTTGATGGTCTTGCCATCCAGCTCGATGGTGCGAATCTTAAAGTCCACTCCAATGGTGCTGATGTAGCTCTCTGTGTAGGTGTCATCCTACAGAAAGACGAGGGACAGCATGATTTGGTCAGGCCAGCAGCAAAACCAGTTAAAAACATTCATTCAGTCCAACAGAAGTGAAAAATATCTTACAGTGAGGAGGTACTACTTACAGCAAAACGCAGTAGAAGACAAGACTTTCCTACACCAGAGTCTCCAATGAGCAGGAGCTTGAACAGATAGTCACTGAAATACAAAGAACAAGGCTGAAAAATTTCCATTGCAATAAAAAAGCAAAACGAAATCAAAAACAGTGGGAAACATTTTATAATACGACCCCGACTAAGTGCAAAATCCCCCTTTAATTAAATGTAACCATTGTTTTTTTAAATTTGAAGTAGGGATGCTCAAACAAATGTGTACCAAGTCACAACAAAAACAGAAATATACTATAATATATACAATATTACCTCATCTTACAACAATCAATCAGACCTATGTGACTTTATAACAATGGACAATACAACTTTTTTTCCTTTTACAATTACTGTTCAAACACAAACACAACTTTCAAAAGGAGTGTGCAGATAAACGTTAG